TTGTGTTGGGTGGTGTAGTGTTTAAAATTTTTTAACAATATGTTGAGCTAATACATGGAAACTTGGGGCGGGGGATCCTTGAAAGTTTGACGGTTGTTAACAAGGTGATGGAGTGTGAGTGGGTTTTAAATTGTATAACAATTGTTAACATCATCTGTAGATCTTTGGACATTTGGACCTAATTTTATATTTATTTATTTGTACATATACATCTAATCAGTGGCGTAGCTAGGATTTGTACCCCCCCCCCGGGACGTCGAGAATTTTCCCTCACCCTCTTCAACGAAGAAAACTCTGCAGTGCAGTGCCCCCCCACCCCTCCCATATTACCGTCCCTGCATATTTTGTTGAAAAGAAAATACCGCTTGCGGTGGAACGTCCGCAACCCACCTCTTACGCAACTTCAGCCAATCGTAAAGGAAAAATGAATATTATTGTATGATTTGTACAATATTAGTATAGTTCACCATAGTCCAAGATGAAGATACTTAATATTTTTATGAAATGCAGTGACAATGGTTTCAATAAAATTATTTTAAAAAAAAAATCTGAACGATGGGGGCGTCATCACTGAGAGAATCAGTAGGCCTACTGCGTTCGGAGAATTACGAGGTCCGAAAATTCGAAATTAAATAGTCTCTGATCAAGTCACATTATGCCAATATTTTGTAATGTTTAAGCATTCAAGAAGCTTAATTAAATTTAATTTATGAAATGAAATCGTTACAATATTTGTTTTGGCAAATAATCTAAAATATGGGGCGTCTTTGCAGTGCCACAATAATAGTTTTGAAACATAGTTTTTACAGTTCATATTTTGAATTCTAAGATGCAATTGTTAATACTATTTATTCTTCTATTTACAATGTACCATTCTCCTTGAGATATCGAATCTTGATTTATTTCGGTATTTAGATGGACAAAAAAATTGGGTGACAGAATAAAACTGGCCTAAATATTACCTTCAACTTCAAGAGAGGCCCAGTTTGGTCCAGGGCTACCACACCTTGGGAAATTTCCCAAGATCTTGGGAATTCACGACCCCCCTTGGGATCTGGGGAATAATTTTGAAAATCAGGCAAAACCTTGGGAAATCTTAACTGGGGGGAAATTTTATTATATTTTTCGAAAAAAACGCAAACAATATGTGATAAAAAATAAGTGAAAATAAAGCAAAATAATTTTTAAAGTAACAAGGCAAAAAATAAATTGTTTTAATTTTCTTTTCTGGTTTTAATTTTTAAATCCACTTATCAAATAAATAAAAACTCTTCTGATATTAAAGTTAATATTATTGTGAATTGTTAAAAAGTTAATAATTAAAGAAAAATTCAATTTTCTATTTATTTTTTTTTTCAATTGAAGATTTACAAATTACATCCAGGTTTTGAATGTTTATTAAATGGGAGGGGGGATAGGCTCGGTAACTTTATCATTAGGCTATTAGACATTAGCAGCCATACGAAAAACAGTACAAGCCGAAGAGTGAACGATAGTATAGTGTTCAATCAAGAATCCATGACATAGTAGAATTTGATTATTTCAATTACTTCTACAATGCATTCAAAATATAATGCATCTATAAAAATCCAGCCTAATTTTCATCAATTGGAAAAAAATATTTGTGGATTGAAACACAGGTAACTAAGATATTAAAAGTATAGGCCTACGTTGTAGTATTATAAATGAACAATACCTTTAAAAGTATTTTTTTTTGGGGGGGGGGGGGGGTAAAAAAATCGTTATAATGTAAATTTACAAGAAAAAAATAAAAAAACTTATTGTTTCAATTTTCTATTTATTATTTTCTTTTTAAATTGAAGATTTACAAATTAAATCCAAGTTGTTAATGTTTATTAAATGGGAAAAGGGGGGGGGGGGGTAGGCTCAGAAACTTTATCATTTGGCTATTAGACATTAGCAGCCATACGAAAAACAGTACAAGCCGAAGAGTGAACGTTAGTAATCAATCAAGAATCCATGCCATAGTAAAATTTTATTATTTCAATTACTTCTACAATGCATTCAAAATATAATGCATCTATAAAAAATCCAGCCTAATTTTCCTAAATTGGAAAAAAATATTTGTGGATTGAAACACAGGTAACTAAGATATTAAAAGTATAGGCCTACGTTGTAGTATTATAAATGAACAATACCTTTAAAAGTATTTTTTTTTTGTTAAAAAATCGTTATAATGTAAATTTACAAGAAAAAAATATAAATACTTATTGTTTCCATAATAATATCAATCCATTTTAGCTACAATTATTATTAATAAATTTTGCTTAATTGCTTTGCAAACCCCACTTCTAATCAACAGATGTACAATAAGAAAAATCATTTTTTGATGAAGAACCTTTTGCCCTTGTAAAAGGAATTCTGTGTTGATTAGCCTTGTAAGCTTTGTTTCCAAGTGACTTCTATTACACATTTATTGTAGATGATATTTTTACCAGAGAATTCGGAGGTAATATTTACTAACCTAACTCCAGTGGGTATTGATATTTTGGATTATAATTTTTTTTTTTTTAAACAAATTGTTTCTTTTAAGTGATCAAAAAAATTTTAAATGTCTTTTTCAATAAATTTCAGTCAATTAATGTACCATGTTTTTCAGGGGAATTAATTCAATCTATTATTACATTAATTACATAGAAAAAACCCTTTAAAAAAAACAAACTCTAATGTATTTTTATGATCTTGGGAAATCTTGGGAAATTCGTACACCAAATCTTGGGAAATTTTAAAAAAGTGAGTGGCAGCCCTGGTTTGGTCCAGTCCAGTAATTGACTGCCAGATATTAAAGTTAAAGTAATAAAATAAAATTGTTGGTAAGTTAAGAGTTGGATTTAGACGAAACACTGGTACTCAAGCAAGTGGCTGATTTTGATTTAAGTTTACGAAGCGTCTGTTTGGACCCGGAAAAGAGTGTGTTGGGTTTATTTTATTATTATTTAAAACAAATATTTAAAATATTATTGTTAGGCTGGGTTTGTAAGACAAAATTTGGTATCAAATGAAAGATAATGATAATTGAATAGACCTTTAGCCTTTTTTAGTCTAAATTACTCTAAATTGCCGCTATTCTAACCCAGGTCCCTACTTTAGACTGAATGTCTTTCGGAAGTCATTTGTGGTAGTTTATTTTAGTAAAACTGAAGTAGTAAGTTTACAAACATAGCCTAGCATAAGCTCATATAGTATAGTATAGTCAATTAATTGACTTAACTTATGACGTGACTATGGGCCGTGGCTAAATTTTTAATAATTAATAACAATATTTTTTAGATTAACTTACTTTCAACTTTACTTTTTAAGAACTAACTTAACTAAGACTAAGATAAGAAAGAGTGTTAGAGTTAGGATGATAAGAAGAACTTGTGCCTATTACTTGAACATGTGTAGACTTTTGATTTGGGCCTACAGGTAGGCTATGGCTACAGTTACAGTTGTAAGGAGAGATACTGCAATCAGGTTAGCAAATAGGAAATGAGTAAAACAAAGTGAGGTTAAACCTGAAAAAAGGAACGCAACAAAATAACGAACGTGTTGGCAGGAAACAGGTGTTAAGGTGCCATGCCCATAGGTCAGGGTAAGCTTGTGTTCCAAATTCACCCGGCTGGGTGTGTTAGTGCTAGTCATGATCACACTTATTATAAAATCTGCCTTGCCCTGGTGGTAGCTCTATTGAAGTGTTTAGAGGTTGGACACTGTTTATCTTGAGTAATATTACGGAGGTGTTCAGTACACCTGTCAGAGAGACGGCGTCCTGTCTGCCCTATGTATGACATCTGGAAGCGGGCACCAACAATGGCGTAAGACAACATTGCAGCTAGTACAAAGGAAACAATAGCATATCTGAAAACTGCCTTTTCGGAAGCATATGTGTTGAGTAGCCCATCATAGCCTCACTGCCAACTCACATCAAGGACACCAACCATGCTTTAAAAACCTTCGAATCTATCATAATCCCTCCTGAAACGAAACATCATCTTTTTCTTCTTGATGTATGTTCTCAATACACTTGTATCCCCCACACTGATGGTCTCTTAGCTCTCATCTGTAATTTTTAATTTTGCACAGTACTTGTATAATAGTTGTAATTGGGATTGTAGTGTAATTTGCAAATAAGATCTCTGCCATTGTAATTTTATCTGATATATTATTATTATCTACATTATAAGTCTGAGAAAAGAAGGATTTAATAGAGTTAGAATCTACATTCATCATCTCAAAATTTCATTTCTGCAACTATGTTTTAAATTCATGCAATGTTCCCCTTGATGAAGCATCAATTCTTCCAGGGTACTGGCTCAGCCATTCACTTGAGTTCCCCCAAAACGTGTCTTGATTCCAACTATGATTTTTGGTCATCTAATTCTCAGCAAAAGCGCTATTTAACAACAAACTAAGTGACATTTAAAAACAAACTTAACGATCTTTAAGAACAAATTAAGCGATCTTTAAGAACAAACTAAACGACCTTTAAAAACAAATAAAATGATCATTAAAAACAAATAAAGCGATCTTTAAGAACAAATTAAGCGATCTTTGAGAACAAACTAAACGATATTTAACAAAAAACTAAGCCCCATTTAAGAACAAACTAAATGATCTTTAAAACAAACCAAGCGATCTTTAAGAACAATCTAAGCCATCTTTAATAAAAACTAAACGATCTTAAAGAAAAAAACTAAGCAATTTTTAAGAACGAACTACATGATCTTTTGAGAACAAAACAAATGATCTTTAATAGTAAACTAAATGATTTATAAGAATAAACTAAGCGATCTATAATAGAAAACTAAATGTTCTTTAGGAACAAACTAAATGATCTTTAAGAACAAACTAATCGATCTTAAGGAACAAAATCAATGATCTATAAGAACAAACTAAGCGATCTTTATGAAAAAACTAAGCGATCTTGAACAACTAAATACGTGATCTTTAAGAACAAACTAAGCGATTTTCAATAACAAACTAAAAGATCTATACAAACAAACTAATTGATCTTTAAGGACAAACTGATTGATCTTTAAGAACAACTAAATGATATTTAAGAACAAAATCAATGATCTTTAAGAACAAACTAGCCATCTTTTTTGAACAAACTAAATGATCTTTAATAACAAACTAAAAGATCTTTTAACAAGAACTAAGCGATCTTAAAAAAAAAAAAAATTTTTAACAATAAACTAAGCGATCTTTATGAACAAACTAACTGATCTTTAAGAACAAATAAAGCGATCATTAACAAAAAACTGAACAAACTTTAACAACAAACTAAGCGATCTTTAAGAACAAACTAAACGATCTTCAACAGCAAGATGTTATATTAGATTTTTATTTATTAATATTCATGATTATCTCATTTTTTATAAAAAGAATGTAAATATTTAAACTTTCCCCCATTATTTTCGATGTATGCAGAATGTATGCGGGAACGAATTTCACAATATCTAAATATTCCGGCTTTGGTTTCGGCCGAAAGTCATTTTTAACTTTCGTTTTTTTCGGTTTCAGCCGAAAGTCATTTTAAACTTTCGGCCCATTTTCGGCTTTGGCCGAAATCAGAAAATCACTTTTGGTCGGTCTCTAATGATAACATTAATTGCGGCCTTGTAATTTGATATTAATTGTGGCTGATAATTTGTTTTTGTGTGAATGTTTAAATGTCTATTTTGAATATCTTCTTTTTAACTTCAGATAACCTCAGTTATTTTGCTAACTTATGTTTTCCCATATTATTGGAAGCTGGATTATATTTTGAAAAAAATGGGAATAAATTCCTTAGCAAATATCATATTTGAAGTACAAAAACAACAAAGAAAACAACAAAAGACCAGGAAAAGCAGTAAAACATTTTAAAAGAAGATCAATTTTAATCAACCTATACTGTATTCTACACTACTTAGTACCGGTACATAGAGTTTACATATATTTTCAATAGGAAGTATGGGCCTGCTTTTTGCTAATGAAATGCTCAATGTAAGGATTCTTATTTGTCAATGCTAGTCATAATAAGGAATGCAAGTGTGCATCAGTTAGTCTGATCTGGTTGGAGATTTCAGATGTTTCATTCAAGGAAAATTTATGTTTACAGACATAGGGGCTGCCAAAGATAGTTCCCATTTTAAGTGTATATCTCCTGAGATTAAAGTGAGATTATGAGGGGAGAGATGTAAAGAAATGAGTAAGGCTGCTTCACTTTAATGTGTGTTTCATATGGTCACTATTCTGTGTTTTGGTTGATTCCATTTGATAAAGGGATCAATTTCAAGGATAACAGAAAAAATTAATGGCCTTTTCATGGAAATAAATCTATCTATTTACAGAATATCTTCATGACAACATTCAGCTCTGATATAAATTAAATTCATTGATGTTGTCTGTGGTTTATTGCAGGGTTTGGCAATCTACTGCCCACTGGGTCTTTAGTAATTTTGTAGTTTCAGAGTAGGCATCAAACAACGTCAGAGGATGACATTTTCAAAGAGGTAAACAAATCAATTGCTCAATATCATTTTGATTGAAGTAAATCAAAATGGAAGTACATAACAACAGATGGTGCTGTTTAAACTGTTGCCAGTTGCAAGCAAATGGTTCTACATTGCAATATTCAGCAATGCTTCTTCTTCTTCTTCTTTGCCTTTTCAACCCACATTGGAGCATAGACCATTAGCAATTTTTTTCCAAGCCTTCCAGTCTCTAGTTATCTTCTAACTCACACTTTCCAACTTTTTCCAATCTTAAATACGTCTTTGTTAAAATCTCCACATCAGTGGTTTTGGGTCTTGCTATTCCTCAGCAACAGGTATTGTGTGGAAAATATCTAGATTTAGGACTTGTGTCTTGTAACCTATGGATTCATACTAAACTTTATTGAAACCGATGGCCTCAGTCTTTGTCAGTTAACTTAGAGTTAACTTACCTCACATCTGTTAGGTTGCTCAGATGTGGAAAGTTTTTGTCCCGATTTTTGAGCTGAGAGCTGATTTTAAGATTTATTTGATCGAAGTTATATTTTCTACTGATATTACTAAACATATGAATGAATTGAATCTCACTCTCAGATTAGAAGCTATCTCCAACAATTACACCTATGTGAATGTTTTCGGGAAAAACAAATACTTTTCAAGCCCCAGTAGATGAGGAGTTGCTTTACTCCATCTCCACTCTGTGAAAAATTGGCACAGTAAGCAACGTGTTCATTCCTCACATGAGTTTAACAAGGAATGCTTAATCATTGGATATTACATTTTCAGAAATGTTTGTACAAAATAGATGAAAATGAAAAAAAAATTATAATTATAAAAATTTTACACCCTGATTGATTTTGGTGCTGATGAGTGATCTAGACTTCTAAAAGTAGCTCCATGGTGATTACTTTTCTCATGCAAAAGCTTTTGTTCGTGAATTCATTTCACAGTTTTTTTGACATTACCTACTTTTGTGAGAACATATTTTATAGAAAGAAATATTAAATGTGTTAAAGAGCATACCTCTAACAAATGTGAAAAAGAGATGATTGTGCCAGATGACACAACTTCACTTACCGAGTACCTGTATAATGGCCTGGCTGTTCAAGTGCATCTGTTTTAAGGGGTTTAATCTACTCCTAATTAAATTAGTTCTCTAAATTAGAAGTATCATTTGCCATGTCTCTACATAGATGCTTTTTATTAAGGTTTTTATTTTATTTATCCTAGTTATTAAATTTTATTAGATACTTTGTTCTTGTTGTGTTAAAGCCTTTGAGGCTTTCATTCACAATGCATAAAAAATATAATGTTGCTTATTACTGGTACTTTTCAGTGGATACAATTTAATAACAACTTTGTCTTATGCTATATGTTTCAGACTTAATGGGAAATCACTTGGCAATGGAGTAATGTGGATGATTAGTTATTAAATATGGCATCCAGTCGTGACTTAGAAACAGATGCAAGGGGAGAGTCTTATGTCGAAGCCTTATTACACCCTGATCCATTGCCAACAAGATCACACTATGCAGTGTCTGACAATGATAGTGGCATTGCAAGTCTGTCTACTATTGAAAGTTTACAGACAACAGGAAATTCAGGATCTTCAGACACTATAGCAGCTCAATTTGAATATTTAGAATATATAAACTTCATGCCAGCAGAATTACGGCATGAATACTTTGAAATCCTAGTTGTTTGTGCTCCATCAGATGAAGAAGATGCTGAAGCCTTCAAAAATTATTTACAAGATTTAGGATACAGAGTAGAAATATTAGAAATTGGAACTCTGCGGTCTGACAAAATGGAACAAGCCTATCAAAGAGCCATGTTTTTCTTTTTGTATGTCACTAAAGAATTCTGTCAATGTACTTCAGCTCTTTATCGTAGCCATGTTTTTTTGTCAGAAACTCTAAATGATGAGAGTAAGAAATGGAGTGTTGTTCCTGTGCATACTACAATGGATAGAAATCAAATAAAACTTGACATATTGCTTCGAAATTTGCATCCTATTAGATATTATAAGAAAGATAAAGATGTGAATACTATTAAAAAGCTTCTGACAGCAAAAAAGAGAGAGATTGCAGAAAGAGAATTGAAGTTGCATCTCGAGAGAGTTAATTTTTTTAAAGCAAATAAATTTTTTCTCTCTAATTTAAAAGTTTTCTCAGCAGTTCAGACCCTAACTGCAGAGAAAGAGAAACAGGCTAAAAATTTATTTTCTGGTGCTGAATTCTCTAACTTAAATTTGCAAGACAATCCTAAACAAAATACACAATTGAAAGCTTCTACCACAGTGTGTACACCACATGAGACCTTAGTAAAGAAAAATTTGGCTATGGATGATATAAGTATTAGAAGTAATTCAAATTATGATCCAACACAGGCTAAAATGAAACATGAAATAAATGACCCACTTGGGGTTCAACTCCAGTCAAAACCTTGGGTAGGGGACATATATAATGATTTACAGATAGATGGACCTGCATCTCAAAGTATAAATTCTCCTACCATGAATGCTTCTTCAAGGAGCTCAAAATCTCCACCTACCATAAACCCAACCGCTCAAACAGAAATCCTGCATCAGACAGAGAGTGGGAAACATGAGACCCATATTCACTACCACAATAACGTAAATGTTGAAAATGTAACAAATCTTCTAATTGGGGATAGTGGCAGCATTTCTACCCAACATGCTAATGAGGATAACAGCTCTGTCAGTGATGATCTGGATGTATTGAAGATCAATAGAGGAGCAACCATGAACCCTGATGGACTAAATTCTGGATCTGTTTCTCATAGGTAATGCATTATTTTCTATTTAAAATTGCGTTACCGGTATTGATTATTTCACTCATTCAGTGTCATTACAATTAACTTTAAATATATGTTTGTTTGTTTAATTACTAGTTCAGTGTTATGTAGTACTGTATAGTCTTATAATGACAGATATAATTGACATTTTAAATCTTAACAAATAAAATTTCAACAGAGAAATGTATTAAATTGTTTAAATACAGAACATTGAGCCCCCCTCTGATTCCTTGGGCATAAAATTGGAAATTTGCCCCTGATTTCTACCATGAAATGAGGACTTTCCTCTTCAAAGTTCCGACAAATTAACCAGTGATTTAAGACATTTTTAAGATCCAATAGGAAAAGAAGCTATGAATTACTAACAGAAATAAGAGAAAGAATATCGCCCGGAAACGGGGCATACTTCAGTAGTCACAAAATCCTAAAAAGTAAAAAGGTTACAAATAAAACCCCCAAAAAACTCTGTATAAAAATGTGATCAGACCAGTTGTAACATAAGCGAGTGAAACTTGTACCGTAACAGAAAACCTATTGAACACATGGGAGAGAAAAGTTCTCTAGAAAATATATAGACCAACAAAGGATGAATATGGATGGAGAATACTAACCAACTAGGAATGTATAGACTATATCAGGGTGCCATGCTAGTAGAAGAAATAAAAAAGGGCAGACTATGCTGGGCGTGACACAGAAAGAATGTCAAAGATGCATGAAGAGGTTGCACCACCAAAACTCCAGAGGAAAGCGGCTTAAAGCCAGATAAATATATTATTTGGAAAAAGATATACAGCAGCTGGGATCCAAGAAAGAAAAGCATCAGTAAGGTCTGAGTGGAAAGAAGTGGTTAGGTATTCCTAAACCCTATATTGGCTGTGGCGCCACAGGGGTGGATAATTTTATAAATTAGATATATATACTAGTAACCACCTCTTCATATTCTAAAAATGGCTCCATCTTACCTAAAATAGTGCTAAAAAAGATGCGAGTACATTTACTTTTAATATCCTAGGTACAAATGGACAAGTGCTTAGTGGTCTTACGCCACATATTTCTAATTTTTTTATAATATGATATAAAATTATTTCAGAAAGAAGGAAAAAAACAAAACAAATATAAATAATTCTTGATGCTTTGAACTGATTGCACAATTGTTTTTAAGTATTGATATAGCCTAAATTCACACAAGTAATAGATCATTATCAATGTAATATTTGTAACAAAAGAAAAACAGAGAGAGAAACTCAGGATGTGTTGTTTAACACTGTTACGCACTAACTTGTATTGGGAGAAATTAATCTCCTATTTTAATTTTAATTGGCTCGTTGTAAACAGTGCCTAACAAAGGACAATACCTTAGAATCAACAATATTAAAGATACGACCCAAAACAGTTTCTAGTTACAATTAATAAGATTTATTAAGTCTTAAGATAATTACAAAAGAAAAGAAAATATAATTACAATCTTCAACTTACAGTATGGTAGATCTTGTACCGGTACACAGTTAATACAGTTAGAATAATGTGCCAATGAATAATGCGAAGTAAACACATATGAGCACACAAATACACAAAGAATAAAACACGCCTCGTAAAGTTAATAAAATCTATCTGAATCTCCGTCTCTTCGTATCTGTCAATCCTTTATATACATGTAACGTAAGACGCTTCCAGAAGGACCTATGACGTGTTGTTTACATATCTCGGGTTAAGGAGCACATTCGAGAAGATACCCGGAGACATTCTACCCAATGTGTAATTGGAAGCCGATTGTAAACAAGATACATCAAAGAGATTTAACCACGCCCACAACAGACGTTACTGTCTGCTAGGAGTGTACTGCGAAGTCGAGGAAAGTTCACGCACAGGAAATTGTGCTACATAACAAACACCTTGATAATAACCAAAGACATCATATATGTTGGTTACGTAATATGAAGCTACTGAAGTTAGGAAAATGTGTACTGGTACTGTATTTTGGTTCCATGATGTCATTGTACAGGATAGCAAGTTTAGAGTCATGCATAATCTTGTTTCTTACAGTTTCACTACAATCCAAAGGTTCCATTAAAGCCACCTACAATTACATCTAATGCCTGGAATCTAAATAGCATTTTCTATAGTCTGATTAGATAATTAATTACTTTAAAAAATGCCATACTCACTCAGAAATGCAGATCACCAGTAGCTAATGAACATTGATACTGGGTATGCCACTTTATTGGTGCCACCTTATTACAAATGAAAAACTACACAAAAAGGTATAAGTCTTACTAAGATTTTGTATTATTTAGGAAGTTTTAAAATCTTCTCTGTTGAATAGTATTTATTATTTATATTTACTTCCTATACCCAAAAAAAACCCCCAAAAAACCAAACTGCCTATCCCAAATGTAGTAAGTAGAATTTTTTTACCATAAATATAGATCAAAACCAAACGGGACTGACTGCAATCCTAATCCAGGTGAGTACAAAATAAAAATTTTAAAAAGTTTAAATTTTTAATGCATAACATTAACTTTATGCAAGGATATCTTTCTTAATTTCTTTTAACTAAAAGTAAAATAAAATGCCTTCCATCGCTTATTTTAAAATCATCACATCTTATTTTTAAATTAAGAAATGTATCATTTTAACTTTTTTTAAAATGTCCAAGTTATTTTTTATGATTAGATTTGCTTACATTATATTGTATCATATCTCAAATCAGTTAGGTTAACTCAAAGAAACGTGAGATATTTAGTCCATAACATTGATAGATCAGTTTTAAATATTTTTTTTAAATCAGTGATTTAATATCAGTAATAATCTAAAACTGCTGAATATTATTTCTTATTTAAAATGGTATGCATTATTGTTATTGTTTTAATAATAACAAAAACATTGTTTACAGAGAAAGTATTTATTGGAGTGTTTTGGGATGTGCAAAATTGTCCTGTACCCAAAAATAAATCTGCTGCTGATATAATCAAGCTCATAAGGGCAAAGTTCATTTTAGTGGACCCCAATTATAAAGAAAAATGTTTCTATTGCATAACGGATGTTACAAAAGAGCATGTAAAGACACTACAGGCAATCAATAATAGTGGGGTATGTAACAAGTTCATTCTTGATTTTTTAATGAAATAATTATCACTATTTCTCCATCAAATAAATTTTTATAAAAATCAAAATTATCACCATTATTTTTGGCATGATGTCAGGAAATCCTTAAGTGGTTTAAGACTATTGTTTATGTCTATGTGTCAGAATCTGCATTTTTACTTTCAGATAGGTCAATGGCTATCTGTAAGATTTCTGTCCCATTTAAGTGTAATCCACTGCATGACTTTGTGCTAAATTAAACATTTTTGAGCATTTAACCCATTCAGTCATAAAATTAGATTAATACTAGTGGTAATTAAAGCAAACAAAAAGAACCACTAAAATATTTCCAGCCATCTCTTACATTAAAGGTCATGTCCTTTATAGTTAAAATATTGTTACATTATTTATCTTTCGTTTCAAAGGCTTCTAACTGAAAATTCCTTTTTATTGTCCCTGTCTTTTTACTTCAAACCTAAATATATCTTGTTCCACAATTTCCTACACACGACTTGAACGCAATCTCTCATATATTATCCATTTTGCTTTGTATAATTATGTTGTGCTATCAAATGATTTATTTTCTTTTTTTTATCAACCTGCCCCCATTATCCCTCCTTTTAGGTCGACTTGTTACACATATGTTCAGACAAAGATAATTCCTCTGACTTTAAAATAATACAAAAGATGGAAGATTTCTCCAGAGATGTAGGAGCTGCAGAAGCCAATGTTATTCTTATAACAAGTATGAAATATCTTTTTTAAAATCGTGGTTATTTTCTGATTGAAGTATTTAAAGGTTGTGGTAAATTTAGATAAAAGTGGCTGTGGTTTTCAAGTGCAATTTTGATGTCACTGTTTGACTGGAATTGTTATTTTTTAATAAGATTAAAATCTTCTGGTTTTTTTTTTTACATTTAAAATTTAAAAAAAAAATTATTGTACACTTTGAACATGACAGCATGGTTGCATACAAAAGAAAAAAATGTCTCAAAATATTTTGGATAAAACCATTTTAATAGCAAAAGGAGAAATTAAAAATATCTGTTTTAGTATTTTTTAGCATTGAAAAATATATACTGATAATAGTGCCAAGCGCAATTATTGTTTACAGGCGATGTAGACTTTGGCATTAAATTAGCTGATCTCAAAAAGAAGAGATACCACATCATCCTTTTACACAATCGAAACATCAAACCAGAGTTACTGCATTCAGTTGATGAAAACTACAGTTATGAAGACCTAATTAAAGAACTTCCCGATAAACATGAGATATTAGTAAGTACTAAGTCCTAATTGTTTTTCCTTATATTTCATACTGGTGTACACATTATTGAAGTACATAATAACTGAATTTTAAATTTATAAAACTGTTAAGTTCTGGAAGACTTGATTTCTTATACAATTTTGTGATGATTAATACCGTAAGATCCTATGGGATGAGGAAAAACAATAAGCAGTTGTGTATTAATGGATGAGACAAAAAAAATTAGCCCATGAGGACAGGGCCCTGAGTGATCTACTTGTTAGCCATGGCCTCTGCACAGTCTTGCAAGGGATATTGGTTGGGCTAAATGGTACTACTAGTACTGAGTACTATTGTTAGAGTGATGTGTAAGGAGTTTTGAAACATACAAGGCAACATGAAAATGATTCCTACAAACTAATGCATGATATTTTTACAGCATTATAAATTATAGGTCTAAATTTGTGGTTTATGGACTGTCAGAATGTCTGGAAAATTATTTCAAAATTTGTGAATAAATATACTTACTTTCTGCCGATGACCCCCCCCCCCTCTCCCCCCAAGCAATACATAATCAAAATCTCCAGAATAATTGATGACCCCCTTAATACGTAAAATCTATATGGATGGCCACAAATGCACATTTTATTTCCTTTGAATCCTATTATGACACAGATTACATAATTTTAATATCAATTGTAAAATGTGACTGCATTATCTGAGTAAAACAAATACAGTTTAGAAGTTGATAATTTGGAGAGTTAACAAATCCTGATTGCTTAATGAGAAGAAAAATATTATTCGGCACAAATATCTTAAGGTTATTTAAAGTGAACTTATTTGCATCTCTATAAAATACTAAAAAAATAATAAAAACCCTGGTCGTAGGTGCTGCCATGACTGACTTTCCACAAACCTAGTGGTAAACCATGACCTCAATAATTAATAAACATGATTTTATATGAATTTAAAAATCTGGATAAGTTGACAATCTGGAGAGTGAGGAAACAATAATTAGTCCAGATTATTGACATTATACTGTATATTCTTTTTATATAAAAACATTGCACTGATAGTGAGAAATAGTGTTTTTTAAGTTAGGTATTGAAAAGAATTTGAAACAAATGATTGAAAATGTATATATTTCTTTTTAATCAGTTATTTTTAAAAAAATGTTCTATCTGCTTGTCCAGGTAAGTGTCGCAGGGAGGGAATCTATTGGTTCTTCCGCCTTTTTTTATTTAATTTTAATTTTACCACTTTGTTTCCGTTGCCGACTTGAGGCTTGCAATCAGAGTTTTCCTTTTCCTATTTAAAGTCAGGGATGATTAAATTAGCATGTCAAGTGCTTTTAAAGAATTGCTGAAATTTCATTATGATATTTTAATGTTTAATAAATGAAGTAGCAAATCTTAGGGTTCTAGTTTACTTGGTCTAAATAAGCCGCTGTTAGATAGATCTATAGGGTCTATAAATTTTATCCATTGTCTTTTTTTTTTTCAGTTGGAAAATGAACCATTTCTAATTGTCCATGGTTACCAACCATTAGCTGGAGAGAAAGCCAAAAATTTTATCAATATTTTGGAATCATTCTTTAGTATGTGGAAAGGAAAAGTTGTTAATCAGCGGGGTACAAAGTTTGGTATACTGAAGTTTGAAAGCTTTGAACTAGCCAAAAGGTAAAATTGTATTTTATAGACAACTACTTTTTTTAATGTTTTGAACAAAATAGATTTTTATTGCACATTTAAGAAATTAGAAGAATTAATATTAATTTTGTAGCCTCTCTCATTTCCTACACATTTTTGGTACAGTAACTAGTAAAAGCATTGACATACAAATGAAGCTGGTAGTAAAATAGGAGTGAAAGGAATCGATCACATTGATGTTGTTCACTTGTTACTGTTAACTTTAATTATTCTTTCATCTAGATGCCACAGGTTATTATTAAAATTATTCTGAAAAAATATTGGTAAGCAAAAGAAGGCCTATTTATGGTATTATTTATTATTTTATGTGAATCTCCCCTGCCTTTCCTACTCATAGGGCTAGTGGCCCTACTGTAGACACCAACTGCTGAATTAGTCCATTTTTTAATAGTATATGTGGTTGCCAGGCTCATTCAGTGTCATTCATAATTAGTGTTTTTACTAGTATTGTTATAAAATAAACTATGCCTACATTATTTATATTTTACAAAAAAAAGTTAATTACATTTACAACAGGGTTTCCCAACTTTTGTTTATATTCCACTGCCTACACATTGATTACTGTAACTGTAATATTTATCTTATGGAATCAAAGTAACTTTATTTAACTGTTAGGCCTTGATTTATCGGGAGGAAGTATATTTTTTATTACATTTGATTTGTCATTTTATTTCAAATTCTGGTTTATATATATCTAAGAAAGCCATTTTAAAATTTATTGTTCGAATAAATTTCCCCTTTGTTTTTCAGTGCTAAGGAGAAAACAAATGGGACAGACCCCTTTGAAGAAAATAATAAGATCATTGTTTGCTTCATAGAGAGTGCTCCAGATGAAATTAGAAGAAGTGTTGACAGTAAGTTTAATATTAATTTTAACAACCCATAAATATGCTTTATAAAATTTACTATCTAGTATTGGGGGGGTGGGGCTAAAAATGACTAAACATGCTTTAAAGTAAGGCACATACTGATTTTTTGGGGGAATGGCTGAAAATTCGATAGAGTGTGTTGTCATGGTCAACAAATCTATGAGCCAAGTTTCAGCTTGATAGGTTGATGGGCAGTGGGTAAATTAGCTGTCACCCAATTTGCAACTCACCCAGTCAGAAAGAACCACCCGAAAAAAAGGCTAAGTTAATATAAAAGAATATAAAAATGGAATCTCTTAATATACATAAAGTTTCCTTTTACTCCTGGATGAACCAATATTTTAATATGTCAAGCAGCAGAATTTTTTATTCAAGACCGCTAAATAGTGTGCTACTGCTTAGTTATTTTACAGAATTATATTATTTCCATTCAGTGTGAATGTAACATTAGGCACAATTTTATTAAAATTTTCTGTGTATTTTTTTTCTGTCATTCTCAGAAGTAATAGAAAATATTTAACAGAATAGAGTTAATATTTTTAGTCTAACTCGGTTATGTTTTTATGTTGTCTTTTTAATTCTTGAAGTAAGTTTTTATGTAGGTGCAGGTTTTCAGAAAATGTTGGTTATAAAAAATTTTTGTATACCCTTACACAGTTTGACCAGTGTAGGGACTTTAGGTGCATCATAGGGCTTTATCCCTTAAGAAGGATGGTTTGTGAGAATGGAGAATCAGGTGGGGATAAGATGGGAGATGGTATGATTTGGGAAATGTTTGGGGTGAAATTGTAGGTCTGGGAGATTGTGAGAATGGTCTGGACCAATCCAGTTTGAGTGGGAGGGGGGCATCAATAATGGCTTTCAAAACAATGGGGTGGTGGGTTGTCTACAGTTTGCCAAATCATATATATATTATTATTATTATAAGTGGTTTTATATAGCGTGGTACCCCAGCCTAGGGCTGGGCTCACCACGCTGTACATACAATTTAACAAACATAATAAAAAAACTTAAAAAATTAATTGACATACATTAATTAAATAAAACAAAACCATGTTACATGTCAAGCCATGGACAACATCGTTTTTCGGTCAGAGGTGGGAATCAGTCAGGATGGTAGACTTTAAAAAGATTTGTTTTGAGTTCAGATTTGAAGGCTGTGATGGTTGGTATATTGCGGATGTGTAATGAAAGAGAATTCCATTGTTTGGGGGCACAGAAAGAGAACGATCGTTCACTGTATGTTTTTGTGCGAGTCTTGGGAACAGAAAGAATATGTGCATCTGCGGAGGAGCGAAGCTGTCGAAGGGATTAATAGACAGAGAGAAGTTCGGTTAGATAAGAAGGGGAGGAATTTGAGAGAAAGTTATATATATAAAAGTGAATTTTTGTGGGTTTGTGCCATATACGTTTTACATGGATTGATGGATGTAGACCAAATTCGGCACATATATCCATCATTATCCAGAATCAAATACTAGTGGGTTATGAATTTTTTATAACATTCCTTTTAGGTCTGGGGGCCAAAATGTTGTTTTTTCTTATTTAAGTTATTTAAATAAAATAAACAACAAATACTCCTACAAGAATAGATGGATCTTGACCAAACGTAGTATATATACACTTGATTATCTATATTCAAATACCGAAGGGTACTGAACTCATAATATCCATCCCTCTGGTGGCCCCCTTCATTTTTTCTTTTACAAGCTCTATAAATATCAATAAGCTTAGACAGCACTCTAGGTTCTATTTGAATTGATGGATATATGCCTAGCATGGTTGCAAAACACTTCATTGTCCGTATTGACATATCGGTGGATTTAAAAGTAAGAATATCCAATCTTGAATTTTCCAGAAAGTTCGATTACCGGCATTTTTATTTATGGCATTTTCAAACCGATTGTAATCGGACAAATTTTAAATTTTAACTCCATAATTGATCTGAATGATTTTTAAGGGGTTTCCCATCTCAGGCAAAACTGATACGGTAAAATTATGGAATGGGTACCCACTGGGCCCGCTCTATTAGCTTAAATGTATCAAAGCTATGGCTATAGCAGTGCATTTAGTTGTATAATTTTTCGAGTTAAAAAAATAATTACCTAGACTTAAAATATTATTGTTTACACTTTTCGAGGAGGTTATTAAATTAATCTAGAATGTTCCAGAAATTTCTATATAGTTCTACAGGAATATATAAGGGGATATAAAGCTTAAAGTAACGAGATCCTGCAGTAAATTGAACCCAGCGGTAACACGATCCAATCAGGTAACAGGATCAAACCCGGATCTGGATTCTATCAGGAAATGGGATCCTATTAGAGAAGAGGCTCCCACCAGGAAACGATCCTAATGGGATCAGCAACCTAACGGGATCAAAATCCCATCAATTTTACCGGGTGGATATCCCACCGGGATTCAGAATTAGGAACAGATCGGGATACTAACGGGATAGGGATCCACTGGGATCAGAATCCTATTGGGAAACTAGCCTACTGGGATCAGGATCCCACCAGAATTGGTATCCAATCATGATTGGGAACCCACCGGGATCGGTATCCAATCAAGAATGGGATACCACCGGGATCAGTATCCAATCAAGAACGGGATACCACCGGGATAAGGATACCACCAGGATTGGGATCCCACCAGGATCAGGATTTAAACAAGATCGGGATCCCACAGGGTTTGGGATCAAACTGGGATGGGTTCCCAACAGGGTCGGGATGCAATCACGGGCCACACCGGGTATATTGGCTAGTTATGAATAAGTTTGTATTTCTGGAAATATAATGGACATATTTCTAAGCTACCTACAGTTTAAAATGAATGAAAAGAAAAATCACTTTTTGTGTATTCACTGTTGTAGCTTTTGGTATGTTTTATCTTATTTATATTTGTTCATGTTCCCTTGTTCAAAAACTTGTTTGGGTAGGCTAGTGAGACAGGTACCACAAATTTTAATGTCTTTTATAATTATTAATCAGAAATATTAAAGCAAAACCCTGGCAAAAATAAAACTGGAGGCAGAAATCAAAGTGGTGAAAGGCCTCTCACACCACCGAATTCTGGTAGGATAGCTGAAATTCATGAAATGGGGTCAGGTTTGTAGGTAAGTACTATTTCAGATCTGTAACGCTGAATGAACAAAAGATATTTTTTTTCTGTTTGAATAAAAAATGACAGTATTAAATAGCATTCACAGTTTTGGGTATGTTCTGTATTAATTATCTCATAACTTCACAGATAATAAAATATAAATGTATAAACATTCATATCTTAAGGTACTTCGTGTTATCAACTTACCCTATATTTATCATGTCATGGCACTTTGAATTCAAGGACATAATATAATTAATACAATAATTTGATGGTGAGTGAGGATATAGATATATTATATTTACTTAAACTTCAAGAGTAAGCAGAAATATTTACTATTATAATTTGTTTATGAAGGAATAAAGAAATTTTTTAATCCTTTAACATGTAAATTTAAATTCTTCTTTTAATATTTAAAACATTACTTATACTACCTCATAAACAATTTAATGCAAAAAAGCAACCTCATAAAAAACAGGTTATCATCATAGGAGAAGAACTGACATTTCCTAATACATGTTGGCCAGTAAGGATTGAGAGGTTCACAAGGATTAACACTTATTAACAGGAGACAGCCTAATAAAAAAATGTAGAGGATTTGTGACTTATTGGTTTATTTAGCATTCATTTGATATAAATTTGGTGATATGAAATAAACTGTTATGTTTGTAGGAGCTTGAATTGTGTCGTCTGATTTGGCTTTGTAACTCCTTGTAAATGTTTTAATGTAACAAAATATTTCTCTTTTTGTCCATTGCCTAAAATGGCAAAAACATAAATTCTTACAAATTTTTAAGTGTGATGAAGAAAGAGTTGATGTTTTTACTTTGGGTTTGATTATTAAAAGTACCGGTACAGAAAACTTTGATGGTACAGGTATGGCCTTATACAACTTTTGAGCTTTGGCTGCAAGCACCACCAGTTTCTACCACACAAGTTGCAAGGACTAGATTAAAAAAGATGTAGATTTTTTTATTTTTTTTAAATCAATGTTACTTTTAGCAGCTGTCTAAAGTAAACAATATCACAGTGTTTTTCAGTTCTTAACACTTCTAATGTTTTTTGTTTTTTTTTTAATTTCTAAATAGACTTGTGCAACTTCTGAGTCTGATTTAAGAGAAAATGATATTAACTTGTGTTGTCTTAGTGCAGCCCTGCACAACATACTGCCCACGGGCCGCATGTGGCCTGCAAGCATCCACTTTGCGGCCCCCAAAGCAAAGAATTGTTCTTTGTTCTTATTATTTTCTTAATATCTTTCCCTCCTGTCCTATTTTCTTTTGGCTCGCACAAACCCTTTCCTATTTTCTTTTGGCCCGCACATGTTTTTCATAAAGTATTACGGCCCACCTTTCATTTTGAGTTGTGCTGGCCTGTCTTAGTGGATAGGTAAAACTAAAAAGGATATAAATATAGAATTTTGCCATTAATGTCATTTGGTTAGTGCAAAGTGGAAAGCAGGGTTTCTTTCAGGCATAACTCGGGGTAGGCCCCCCCCCCCCCCCCCCCCCCCCCGCGCCCCCCCC